GGAGTTTAAGAACATTAGAAGATGAAGTAGTAAGAAGCGATTTGTAATGGGAGGGGAGGGGGAGTTTAAGAACATTAGAAGATGAAGAACAAGAAGGGATTTGTGGTGGGAGGGGAGGGGGAGTTTAAGAACATTAGAAGATGAAGAAATAAGAAGGGATTTGTTGTGGGAGGGGAGGGGAGGGGGATAATAAAAAGCTTAGAACAGTGAGAAGAAGTAAGGATTTACAATAAGAAGGACTTGTGTAGGATGAGTGGGAAAGAATAAGGAGCGTAAAATCGTAACATTTCGACGCCAAAACTGCAATAACATAACGCTGGGAAGATTCGAGAACTCTTTTAAAGCTTAATATACTTTTGTCTGTGTCTGTCATGTCAAAAATGACGAGTCTAGGTATATTGACCGTTTTTTTTAAGAAAAAGACACTTAGACTTCAAAATTGGAATATATGATAATATAACGAGTTAGATAACGCTGGAAAGATTCGAGAACTCTTTAGAGGTTAATATAGTGTTGGTTGGATAATTAAAACAGACGAAAATGGGAATATTGGTCGTATTTTCAAGCAGGGAACAATTTGGTCAGAATACTGGAATATAGAGGAATATCATATATAAGTGATATCGGATAATTCGAGGATTCTTTAGGGGTAATTTAGGATCCGTTTAGTTTAGGGTGCGTTGGTGGTCTTAAACAGGTGATTCTAAAAGCCTGAATGAGCAATATTTCCTGTCTTTAGAGACGTTAATTTTTAATCTGCTCATGAAAGTGAAAATCCAATCCGTCATGAAGTGGTGTCTATTTTACGGTATAGCAATTATGTTCTTTTTCTCGTTTCACTTAAAACATAATAAATATTTAAATAACTGCCGATGATTGGGAAACTGTAAGTTTTATAATTTAATAAGATGTTTAGAGAACAGTTTGACCTCGTATTGTGAAAAGTCAACTTGAAAAATGAATAAAAATGTTCCCCATGTTTATTAACGATACATGAGCAGACTTAACAAGCTAACTTTTATGCGTTTTCTTGGGACGTGATCATTTACGAGTGACTTCAATTTAATCAAATTGCAATAGGTGTTGGGAGGGTGGGGCTGTTGCGAGCTCATTTCACTAGAATGTTCATCTTCAGTTCGGAAATAGGGGAAGGGAGGGTGGGGGGTTTTAAGGAGCTCAAGGACCATAAGAAGTTTTACCCGAACGTCATCTTTAGTTTATCAAAAAAAAGATTATATAGTCACCTCCAAGATTTCAGCGTCATCTGTGACGACCTTTTTTTCTTACGAAATCGTCATTGTATACGTTTATTACGTAAAATGAAATCGAAACATTCTAGAAGCGATTTTATATTGTTCCAAACGATCAGCTGTTCCAAAGCAAGGGCTCACATAACTGTATATAAAGAGAGTGGGTCTCCGCAATGCTTCATTGTGCAAGTATAGTTTACAACATGAACGGCCGTGTTGTATGGGAATTACAATCTCGAGCCGCAGGCGAGAGATTGTAATTCCCATACAACACGGACGCGAATGTTGTAAACGACTTATAAAACTCCAACACAAATTAACATGAATTACAGTGAGATAAATGACGAAAAATGACAAATAAGGTAACTGCTGAGTTTAGTCCCTATTAAGCATGCGCAATTTACTGCAACACAGAACATTTTGAATAATTATCCATCCCACATGGAAAGCAAGCCATCTGTTGCATAAGCGAGTTCTGTTATCCGTCTTCGATTGCTTCAAAACCTAGTGAAGGTCTATGATGCGACACTAAAACTGAGACCTTTGCTAGTGTTGGGTTGTCTCAATGGTGACGACCGTGTTGTAAATCTGATACAACACTAGTGGTTGTATCAGATTTACAAGGTCAATCACCTGATTAAATGGTCAGCCCTTATTGGAGCAATAGCTTATGCATTATTAATAAGTTTTATAAGTTTGTTTAAACTTGCTGTTTTGTTTCTAGAAATATTGCCTTTCTGACGACTGGTGCTTTTTGGACAGTAAGTATAAATTTTTAGATTTGATTCTTGTCTTGCATCTTGTGCTGTTTTTAGTTGTTTACTTTTCGTTTCTTTGCTTCGTTTTATCACTTTTCATGTATTTTTTTTAGTTTAAACTGCGTAAATTCTCTCATTGCCTGCAGGCATTTTAAATTCATTTTAAATTTGATTATCAATGTCTTTTTTTCTTTTACTTGTACGTTTTCAGACATCTTTTAATTTTTTCCTTTGCTTTCATTTATTTTTTCATATTCTTCTCCTGTCGTAATGTCCCTTGTGTCAATATTTTATTTCTTGCACTTCATTCAATTTTTATTTAGTTTTATTTAGAAATGTGTAAGTCTGTTTAACATGAATTCATTCATATTTAATGCGAAATCTCAAGTCCATAAAATAGGTGCTTCACAAGCCTCGGATTCCCTTTATTTTCTTGCGCATTCAATTTTACGTTGACAGAAGACAATAAAAAATTATGCCTGATTGAAACTAAGCTTGCACAGAAGAGAATTAGAAGCTAAAGTGTTCGACTGTTTCTGTATATTTCAGAATAATTCAGAATACTGCAACAGGTATATACGTGACTTCACAAAAGTGTTTAACAAGTGCTTCCTTTTGTCTCCTAGCAACCTATCCTGATCGTGTATACAGAGTCGACGTCGCCCAGGTAACGGCTTGGATCGAATTTTCTAGACCTGTAGAAATGCCAAATTGCCGTGCAATTAACTCGTTAAGTTTACTTATAGGAAAATATCTATAATGTAGTGGATATCCTTGATGGTGGAGTCTTCATTGTAGATCTGGAACAAAGCGGCAATAAAAAGAGGTGATTGAGTCTTAAATTTCCTGGAGTGGTTTTGGAGATTAGTACTATCATCTGATAGACCTTGAGAGGAAATCCTTCAGTTTAAGATTGATCATATCATGTTACAGTGTTATGCAATGCTGTCTTTATCTTTAAAAAAATAAGATTTATATTTCAGTTTTTTTCCTTATTTCTTCGCGCTCTTAGCGTTTTGTATTTTTTTATTTTTTCATATCTATGTCAGTTCCATTTGTTTTGTTTGCGAGGGGTCTACTTATCGGTCATAATATTGTTTGCTCACATCCTYTWTTTTACAGCTAGATACGAAAAACTGGAAAYCTCACCAAAGCCGTAAATAATTTAAAATTTCATGGTCGCTGATATTTAGCTACGTGTACAGGGCTTTAAACCTCCGATAACCGGCCAGTTTAGAAAGTGGGAGTTAAATAGAGGTTACAACTCACTTTTCGACTTCAATTTCCAGGCCCAGTGACAGGACAAGTGTGGTAAGTTTACCAGCAACGATAAGAGATCCAAAAGCAAATCCAGTAAGTCATTGTCAAGCGGAGAATGGTCATGATGATATAACGTCTGCATCGGCTCCGTGTACACCTGTCCAGTAAGTCTACACAGGGATCCCAATTTGAGTTACCAACCTATCTGCTCTGCTCTGCTCTGCTCTGCTCTGCTCTGCTCTGCTCTGCTCTGCTCTGCTCTGCTCTGCTCTGCTCTGCTCTGCTCTGCTCTGCTCTGCTCTGCTCTGCTCTGCTCTGTGCATAAATGTGAACAACTAGAGTTGATTTATAAGAGTATTTCTTTTTGTTTGCTTATTTTTTATTTAATTTGATATAATTGATTTCAGAATGCAGAAGTTTACACTACCAGAGGAAGGTGTATGGTATGTACAATCATTGTTTTGTATTTTTCTTTGTCCTTCTTTGACCATATCTACTTTGCACATGATCCCAGCCTTGCGGCACTGGGTTGTTGGGCGTGCAAAGTGGGTGTAATTGGAGTAAAAACCATTTGTTTTAGAGACAGAAACAACAACACAGATTCACTTAGTTATTTGACAATTTGACCATACGCACGGAATGTATTTTAAGATATTACTAGTTGAACTAAACTTGATCCTTTGTGTTGTAGGGTGAAGATCCCTGAAGCAAAGCGCAACGAACAACGTAAGTACATCGCGTATACGTAAGATAAACAACGTAATAGTTAAGCTCTTTTAATACTTATTGCTGATATTTCCRATTATTTTTATTGTAGTAATGATAGAGGCTGCCAAAAATGGYGATCTTGAAAAGGTAACTTATCTCATAACCCTTATATTTTAACCAAAAAACTCATGACTTCCTGTTAAAWCCATAGGCCGTTCATCTATTGCTTGAGAGAAAGAAAAGAACGACTTCGCACGTTTTTGTTATGTTATCGCATCGGCGCGCGCTCTTAGCAAAATGCGGGTTACCTGTGGTATTACGTCAATGATCCCTTTTTTGTTTCCAGATGATTGAACTCCACCAGAAGTCAACAAGTCTGTCGGCAGGAGATCATCGAGGATGGAGACCCCTTCATTATGCAGCTCGACATGGACACAAAGAAGTCATCAGATAYATCATATCAAATGGTAAACACAGGAACCCCACGTCATAAAATACTTACTCTTGCCCCGAAGCCTGCGCTATTGCCAGTCAGTGGACTCAGAACTCAAACTAGGCCCAGGTTTACGCTGTTAGGATTTTTTAGCCCGCRCTTATTTCAGAGACTGTACAAACCAAGAATCCCGTTACTTATTGTAGTCCATTTAAAAAGGGCGTCTTGATTGGTGCACAGAAAACAACCAACCCCTGCGCATGTTATATAAAGTGTTTGCAGCCAATCAGAGCGCGCATTTTATGTCACTTTTTTTGCGCAGCTAACGTGCCCTTGTTTTCCTTAGTCCCTCGATGCGTATTGGACTTAGTGGAGGAAGAAAAGTAAGTACCACAGCACCGATTAGATGTGGATTGGTGTAAAGGTTTTCTAGTGATTAAGACTTTTATTAACTCAATGTGTATAAGAGCTGACACTCTAGATTTAGATGCTTATTTGATCTAACAAGATATCCTTTTTATAACAGAGGTCAAACAGCGCTTCATAAAGCTGCATTTTATCAACGACGAACCATATGCTCACTTCTTGTTCAGGCAGGGGCTTCGCTTACCCGAACAGACTACGACGTAAGTCGAGAATAAATCGATTATCAGAGGTCTTAGATGTGAATTTGTTTGAATAAATCGATAATCAAACGTAGTCTGTAATTGATGTAGATTATATTGATAATGATGGAGATGATGATGATGAAAATTATAATAGAGATTATTTTGATGAGTTTTCAGTGWAGTTGCAATCGTAATAATTCATTGTTTATCAAACTCTTTAAGGGAAACACACCAAGAATTCAAGCTTTAAAAGCACAAGACAAAGAATTAGCAAAATACCTCGAAAGTAAGCACTTTATTGATTTCCGTCATAAAGGAATATATTACGTATATCATTCTGACTTGTTTGCGTATTTTTCATAGCCCAAGAACATTTGCAAATCATCGCATCAGAAGATTACGAAACCGCTGTATAAACGTGCGCAAACGTTAAAGATTACGTAGCACATGCGGCGGACGCAATCAACCAACGTKGCTTAACGTAAAAAGAGGATAATATTGAGAGGACAGGGATGAAATGGCTGCATTTTTTTTAATTCCCTAGGCTTTACGTAACGGGTTGTTGTTGCGTATTTCACATTCTTATTTTTCATCTTTTGCGCAAGCTATACACGATAATTGCACGCTTTGTAAATTATATGAATCAATATTTGGGATTTCTTTTTTTTTTTCTTCTTTCTTTCACTACAGTTTCGCGACTTCATTGTTTCATAATTTACCTGAACAATCAGTTTAACGTAACACACTCTTTTCTTTCCGCACTTGCTTCAAGTGTTTTGCACTACGTAACGTAGCATTTTATTTTACAATTTTGTTTTTGTAGGCTCTAATAGGCTCTAATAATTTGTATAAAATTAGCAATATAGTCATACATATAACATTATTCGCGCGAACCAGCGTTTTAAACGAAAATTACAATTACTATTTATTGCGGGACAATTTACTGAATTACGTTCCATGGGGTAAATCCATACGTAGTAGTACGGGTCCTAAATATTTTGTTTCCATATCCAATATCATGATTAGTTGTGAGAGACTGGGGCAAGCTAGCCTTTCATTACCATCCCCAGGTCTCCAGCTGTGCTGTCGATTTTTCAATTTCGATCAACCGACCAATTTTGACCTCGATTATGCGACCRCTTTCGACCATTTAAACCAAGCAAAACAAAGGCTAGAAAACGATGGTTATGTGACACTTTGAGCTTAATTATAGTTTCACAACAAATTTGTACAGGCATCATATTACCCAATCATACATGTATATTAAAGCTGTCACGCAATCATGCGTAGGTATGTAACGCAAGCTGTGAGATCCAAAGTGGCTTTCCTTTCTTGCGTTTCGTTGTACATAAGTCACTTGCCCATATTAGCAAATCCTTAGT